GCCTCTCCTTGCGGTTCATGTACGGGGCGTGTCCAACGTCTTGGCCGACGCCCTGTCTCGCTTCGTTCCCCTCTCCACGGAGTGGACGGTCGACGACGAGTCCTTCCGTTGGCTTTGCCAGACGTTTGGGCGCCCCGAGGTGGACCTCTTCACGTCGGCGTGGTCGCAGCGTCTTCCCGTTTATGCGCCGCCCTTCCCCGATCGCGAAGCCGTTGGGGTCGATGCCTTTTGGCTAGACATGTCGAGGTGGGGGTTCCTGTACCTCTTTCCCCCAGTTCGGCTGTTGCTCCAGGTCCTGACTCGCTTAGAGACTTACCAGGGGAGAGTTGTCCTTCTGGCCCCTTGGTGGCCGGCCCAGCCTTGGTTTCAGGTGTTGGTTGCTCGGTGCCCGAACCCGAGGGTTTTCCCGTGGCTCCGCCTCTTTTAGCAGATCGGGCCAGTACGTCACGTGGCTGGTTCAATCTTCTCCTCGAGTCTTCGCGTATGGGTTTTTTGACTCGAGTCTATCATCATCTCTATGGTGATCAGGTGGCCTCCTTGTTGGTGTCCCACCTGAGGGTTTCTTCTCGGCGGCAGTATGAAGTTTCCTGGCTGTCCTTCCGTTTCTTTTTGCGTCTTCGTCGTGTTAGTTCCTTGTCTGTTCGGGTGGTCTTGTCCTTCCTCTCGTGGTTGTTTCAGGACCGTCATCTTATGCCTAACACTGTCGCCTCATATCGTGCAGCGCTGGCGGAGCCGCTTCAGCTTGCTTTCGGTATCGATGTTACGTCTGCGCCATTTTGCAAGCTGTCTCGTGCATTGTTTCGCCTCCGGCCTGCTCATGCGTCGCCTGAGCCGTCCTCGTCTTTGGACAGAGTGCTCGCTTTCCTTTCGTCTCCTCGTTTCATTATGGCCCCTTCGGTCCAGGATTGTTTTTCCAAGGCACTTTTCTTGTTGGCTTTGGCCTCTGGGAGTCGGGTAGGGGAGTTTCATGCTCTCCTCCGGCGCAGGGGTTTCTGCTCTTTTGGTCGTGGTGATTGTTTTGTTCGTTTGCAGCCGTCTCCTTCTTTTCTGGCGAAGAATGAGACTGCTGCGTTCCGGAGGGGTCCATGGGTGGTTGATGCTTGGTTGGTCAGGCCGGGGGTGCATCATGTTTTGTGTCCAGTTGCGGCGCTTCGCCGTTATTTGCGCGCCACGGCTTCTGTGTCCGAGGACGCGCTGTGGGTTGATCCGGTTTCCCTTCTTCTCTGTTCGCGGGTTCGGGTCTCCCAGGTCATCTGCAGGGTTATTAAGTCCAGCCAGCCTGCGGTCTATCCCCATCCCCATGACGTTCGTAAGTTCGCGGCTCTTGCTGCCGTCTTTGGGAATATGTCTTGGTCTGATATTCGGGCGCGGGGATTTTGGCGATCAAACAGGGATCCTGGCTGCTCATTACCTTGTGAATGTCCCTGGGCCCCGTCGGGCCTGTGTTGCTTTGGGTCGGCGGTTGCAGCCAGTTGTCTTGGCTTCGAGTTGAGGAGTGAGCGACGACCGCCTCCCGGGTAAGTCCCTCTTTTTCCGTCTGTGGGTAGTTAGCTCCAGGGAGCCGACGGGGCTCCCCCCAGAAAACCAGCGTTGAATGTAATGAAACGCCATTTTCTGGGTGAGTCCCGGAGGCTCCCCGGCATCCCTCCCTCCTCTCCGGTCGGCGGTTTTTCGCGTTTTTGACATGCAGCCTCAAGAACTGAGGTGTGGGTAGCCGGCGTGGAGGGTCTGGGGCTCCCCCTTCCCCCTCCTGGAGAGGGGGTAGCTGCGCAGACAGCGGCGTGGCGGTGTGTGACATCACACTAGTTTGCTTATTTTCGGTTGGGGAGTTCTATCCACTAGTTCGGCTTTTAGGAGCAATTTTAACCAGAATAGAGGTTTGTTTTGAGGCGCTTACCTTTCTGGGTGCCTGTTCCGGTCGAGGCAGACATAGAATGCTTCCAACCACACGGGGGCTTCTATAGGCCATTGCTCCCCTTGCCTCTCTGAGGGGGCCCGGTTCTGGCCATGGTCCCCAGTAGGCCTAAGAACTCCATACACATGACTGATGCCAAAGTCTGACATTAGCATATCAGCCTGGGATAGCTCCGGGGAGCCTTCGGGACGCCTCCGGGACTCACCTAGAAAATGGCGTTTCATTACATTCAACGCTGGTTTTTTACCTGGTGGGAGGTCTGCCGTTGTGGTCCCCTATCGCTGTTCTTGGGGTATATATATTTCTATATCTTTATTCTGTGTTGGTGGTCCTCCCTGCTTAGCCCCCGTGAGTTGACACGTCCCGGGGGTTCAGCTTTAGAAGTTTGTTTGGTAGACTTGGGCGCTGGTTCGCAGTACCATGCCTGGGCTTCCCTTAACGTGTAAACAAGTCTAAAGACCCCAGGAAAACCCCGCGGGGGCTACATGGTCCGATGGATGTGACCCCTGAGTCCGCCCTTGCTTCTTGCAAGTTCAAAGGTTGCTCTGTCCCCTTGTCTCAGGGTGAGACTTACCGGTTTCGCCTCCGCCCTGCTGCCTGTTGGGTCGATGATTGTTTTGAGCCAGTCGTGCGACGTGTGTTGTCTGTACATGCTCCAGTTCACCCAGGCCACTTATAATGATATGCGACACCGTAGCAGGCAGCTACGGTGTTGCATGCTAGATTTAGGTTGCTGCAATGCGCTAGGTTGGTTGCAACCCTGGATGCCCCAAGATTGCCCCGTTTTGTTATTAGGGCCCGGACTTGGGGGTAGGAGTCGCTTCGGCTCTGGTTCTGTCCGCCCCTTTTAGTGCTTCCCCCCTCTGTTGTTCATCCGGTCTCCTCCCCACCCCTTGCTTCTGGCTCCAAGGATTTCGGAGTCGGGGCAGGGTCTAGTTGGTGTTGAGACTCGGGCGGTCTCGGGGTGTCCCCTTCTGGGGTTGTGGCAGAGGCATTCGAGCCTGGGCCTTCAGCCAGAGCTTCTGGGTCTAGCCAGTGGGCCCCTTTCGTTCCTGCTTTTTGGGTGGTTCCCGCTTTTTCTTTAGAAGTGGAGGGGTTTGGAGGCCGGCTCGGCCCCGGGTCCTCAAGGAGAGGTTCCCGGGGCTGGGGAGGGGTTGACTTAGGGGGTCTTGTGCCCGGTTGGACCCCGCCTGGGTTTTTTCTGCCCTCAGAGTGGGGCTTAGTGTTACAAGGAGAAGGGTTCTCTTTCGCTCCCTCTGGGTACGAGTTGGATTTGGTGTCTACCCTTTCTCGGGTTCGGTTCCGTGATTCCGTGGGTTCCTCGGTTCTGTCTTTCCAGAGGTTTTCGGCTTCCTGCATTTCATCTTCTATGGTGCGGGAAGCCCTTGCGGCTTACCTCCTGCGTGACCCGGATTATGCTTGTGTGGGCGTTGGGTGGCCCCTCCTCCCTCGGGGTTCGGGGCTGTCAGGGCAGGCCTCTTCTCCTGGGGCTCTGTGAGATCATCTTGGAGTGAGTTCGCTTGGGCGTGGTCGAAATGACCTCGTCCCTCAGGTGGGTTTCCCGCCTGTTTCCTGTCCTGAAACAGGACTTCGTGGACCTCCAGTTCATTCTGGACTTGTCCCGTCTGAACCTGTGGGTTTATTGCCCCTCCTTCAGGAAGACTACTCTCTCCCAGGTCCCTCTTCTGTTGGAGCCGAGCGCTTGGATGAGGTTCCTTTGACCTTCGTGACACGTTTTGGCATGTCCCGGTTCATCCGAGGTTCATTGCCTGGTTAGGTTTTGTTGTGGGGCGTTAAGTTACCGCTTTTGTTGTCTTTCCTTCAGGTTGAATCTGTCGCCTCGTGTTTTCACACGCCTTACTCGGGTCGTGGTGGCCCGTCTTCGTTTGTTAGGTGTTCGGGTTCTGGCCTACCTCGACGACTGGCTGGTTTGGGCTCCCAGCCAGTCCGCGTGTCTGCTTGCAAGGGATTTGGTTCTTTCCCAGCTCGCTGGGTTCGGGTTTTTGGTGAACTGGAGGAAGTCCCATCTGGTTCCCTCTCAGGTTCAGTCTTGGCTGGGTCTGGTTTGGGACGCTCGTACCGCTTCCTTGTCTCTTCTTCCAGCAGCTCTGCTCCGTCTGCATTCCTGCCTTCGTCTGTTCCTGAGGGGCTCCTGGGTCACGAGGTGGTTGCTCGAGAGTTTGTGCTGGAGCCTGAACTTTGCCATGATGGTCTACTCACCGGGTCGGGTGTGACTTCGTTGGCTGTTGTGGTTCCTTCGGGGACGGCCCTTCCGCCTCTCTCGCGATTGTTGGTGTTAGGCCTTCGGGGGACTTTGCGTTGGTTGCTGCATCGCTTGGTTCCTCTTCGGGTTTTTCGGGGTTAAGTGCCTTGGCGCCTGCCCGAGTCCTCGCTCGAAGTGTACACAGACGCATCGTCTCTTGACTGGGGCTTTGTGACCAGTGCTCACCAGGCTGGCCAGGGGCGGTGGGGTCTGTCCTTCTGTCGGGCTCACTGCACGGTCCAGGAGTTTGCGGTGGTGTGGATGTCGCTCCAGAGGGTTCGAGTCGCTCGTGGATCGATGATCCGGTTCCATTTGGACTGCTCCCCAGTGGTTCATTGCCTGAACTGAGGGGGTTCGATGCGGTCCTTGGCTGTTTGGGGCTGGTCGCTTTGGGTGACTTGTCTGCTGAGTTCTCGGGGCTTGGCTCTGAAATGTGATACTTGCAGGGTGTCTCATTTTCTGTTTTCTTTACTTTTGCCTTACTGTTGTCTGCATTTTCTCGCTCTTCCATTTTGGTGCCTATTTCCGCAATTAGAGTTATTTAGTATTCTCTGCTCACTACGCATCTGTAAGGAAACCAGGTTTTGGCCTCTGGTCTCTGCTATGGTATTAATGACTCAAAAGAGGCCTGGTGCTATTTGATAGGTGTGGAGGTATCCAGAGCAGCTTAAAACAAAGAGCCACCTTGGGCCTCCAGAAAGAGGCATTTTGTTATATTCAGTGCTAGGTTTTTACTTATAAGTTGCTGTTATTATCTTTCAGAGACAATTTATTTGAATCATTTTGTTATAATTACAGTATGTCTGTTTTTTCTTCTTGTAGTTCCTAGTTGATGAATGGCAGAAAGAAGAAATGATCCAACAAGACAGTGCTGGATTTACCTCATCGGAAAAAGAGCCATTAGACAACCAAGTATTAGCAGCTCTCTATTATCTTGGATCTACTGAAAGTTTGGCTTCAGCCAGTGCCAAGTACGTTGGCTATTGCAATATCTTTTTAAATCTTCTAAATCTTTAGTGTTGAGATATAATTAAGAATTGCTCTAAGAGGATCTAGATGACTGGCAGTCTATAAAGGAGTGTTTCATTGATAGAAATAATCAAAGGAAATGTTAATGATATGAATGTGTGTGTGTGTAGTCCCTGTGTCTTACTTCCTTTTGAGAACTCTCCTTCAGGGTGTGGGTAAACCCTCTACAGGAGGCCCCTATCACTTGACAGATCATAAGTTTTTCTCGTTCTCAAACTCTTTATAAGAGGCTACCCAAAGCTATCCAGTCTGGTTGATACCTGGTTCTGATATGTAATATATGAGACTTTGGCATCAGTCAGTGTGAATGGAGTTCATAGGCCTACCGGGGACCACGAGCTAGAACCTGGCCCCCTAAGGGAGGCATGAGGAGCAATGGCCTATAGAATTGCACATGTGATTTGGAACATTCTATGTCTGCTATCGATCGGGTCAGGCATCCAGAAAGGTAAGCATCCCAAAACAAACCCCTAGTCTGGTTGAAACTACTACTGAAAGTCAAATGAGTGGACAGAACTCCCCTCAAAAAACAAGCAAACGAGCATGACGTCACCACTTGCCACACTGCCATCTCTGCATCTCCCCCCTCCCCGGGAGGGGGAAGGGGAAGCCTCAGACCCCTCACGCCGGCTACTCACACCTTCAGTTCTTCGGCTGATGTGAATGGCATTAGTTGCTGTGGCTCTGGCTCCTGATTTCTGTCCTCTGCTCTGCTTTGTGGTGTTGGGCGAATCAGGGTGATGTGCGAGCCATGAGTAATCTTCTAAGTACTCGGGCTGCATGTGCCTAGGGGTCACCTTCCCTAGGTGCCCTGTAAATACTGCCCTTGGGGCTTGGGGTTATCTTCCGCAAGTCTTCTTTGGGAAGTAGAAAAATTCCCAGAACCCCATCAAGTAGGTATCACCTTTGGGTCTACCTCTGTTGGTTTTTTGCTGCTTGGTAATAGACCACCCTGAGTGTGCGGGGGGGGGGGGGGGGGGGGGTTCCTCCTCCATTGTTTACCTTAGGGTAAGGGGTAGTTTGCACTGGTAGGGGTGCAGAGTACTGCACAGCTAGTTATTACCTATTGTGGCAGCTGGCTCTGTTCCACTTGGGTACGTTGTCCTCTTGTGGGGTTTTTCTTTTGTTTTTGTTTTCCTGCCTGGTGGGGGGTCTGCCTTTGGTTCGTTGCCCCCTATCTATAACTTAGGTTTATATATCTGTGTTTCTGGGTGATACCCCTTGCTAAGCCCTCGTTAGTGGACACGTCCCGGGGTGCAGCTTCTAGAAAGTTTGTTGGTAGACTTGGGCGCTAGTTAGCAGTACCCTGCCTGTGCTTCCCTGAGCGTGAGTTCCGTCTCAGGACCCAGAGAATCCCCACAAGGGCTTGTGGGTTCGATGGATGTGACTAGTGAGTCCCCCCTCTGCTTTGTGCGAGTTTGAGGGTTGCTCTGTCCCCTTGTCTCAGGATGACTCATTGTTTTTGCCTCCAACACGCTGACTGCTAGGTCAGTGACACCTTTGACCCAGAGTCCTGTGAGTTTTGTTGCTTGTTTATGACTCAGTCTACCCAGTCCACTGATGACTATTCGGGTACAGGCACCACATGTGTTGCACGTTAAGTTTAGGTTGTTGCAACACGCTAGGTTGATCGCTTCCCTGGATGCCCCGAGGCTGCCCTGTTTTGGTTATTGCAACCGGGACTTGTGGGTGTTGGTCACTTCGGCCTTGGTTCAGTCTGCACTCCTCGTCCTTCCCCTGCTAAGGTTCGGTCTGATCCTCTCCCCCATCCCCCTGCATCCGGCTCCGAAACATCATGAGGGTTTCAGGGTCAGGGCAGGATTTAGATGGTCTTGAGACTTGGGGGATGCTCCGCCAAGAGTAGCGATGGAAGCATTCGAGTCGGTTCTCCCTGCTGAAGCATTTGGGTCTGACCAGTGGGCCCCCCTTTCCTTTCTTCTGGCTTCCACAGTTGTGCCGGCGATTTCTTTTGAGGCCGGGGCTTTGGGGGACAACTTGGCCCCGGGTCCTGATGTGGTGGTTCCCGGGCTGGGAGGGGCTCACTTGGGGGCCTTGGGACCCCCGTTAGACACCGCCTGGGTTTTTCTACCCTCTGAGCAGGGCTTACTGTTGCAAGGAGTGGGGTTTTCTTTCTTCCCCTCTTCATATGAGTTGGAATTGGTGTCTGCCTCTCCCCGGGTTCGATTCCGTGTCCCTTTGGGTGCTTCGGTCCCGTCTTTCCGGAGGTTTTCAGCTTCCCGTATCCCGCCTCTGTGGTGCGGGATGCCTTTATGGCTTACCTCCTGCACGACCTGGATTACGCCTATATCATGGATCCGTCTTCGTTCAGGTTTGGGTCTTCATTTCCCTACTGGATTCATTATGAGGTTCCAGATTCGTCCTGGCTAGTGGACTGCCCTGTGTTCTCGTTGGATGCTTGGAGTACTTTCTGTTGTACCCGCACGCTTGAGTGACTCGAGGCATTGAAGGTGGTCCCAGTTTTCCTTGGGGGTGACTTCAAGCACCTCAATGCATGTTTGTTACCCCTTCCCTTCAGTGGGATGTTGGCATGGATCAGCTTCATATGCAGATGCTGCACTGGTTGCTGGGGACTTGTGCACTTCTGGCCTGCTGGCTTCAGTCTTGCACTTCTTTTCCCTCTTGGAAAAGAGCTGCCTTCGGATTGACTTGAAGAGGATGTGGAAGAGCTTGGGGCCGTTCCTGGTGCCTTAGTCTCAGTGGCACGTGTGTCATCTGCACTGTTGAAGCTGTTTGTGCCGATCCTGCGGGATGCGGTGTCGCTGTTTTTCGCTTCGAGTCTCGCGTGTCGGCAGGTAGTACTCGCTTCTTTGTTGGAATCTGCTTGAGCCCTGGCTCTTCAGTTTTCGTCGCCTTTCTGGGGGGAGCCCCGTTGGCTCCCCGGAGCTATCCAGGCTGATATGCTAATGTCAGACATTGGCATCAGTCATGTATGGAGTTCTGTGGGCCTACCGGGGGACTACGAACTAGAACCAAGCATCTTCACAGAGGCACGAGGAGCAATGACCTATAGAAACCCCTGTGTGGTTGGAAGCATTCTATGTCTGCCATTGACCAGGTTAGGCACCCAGAAACGTAGGCGTCCCAAAACAAACTCCTATTCTGGTGAAAATTGCTACAAAAAGCCGAACAAGTGGATAGAACTCCCTAAACTGAAACAAGCTAACGAGTATGATATCACACGTCACCGCGCTGCCATCTGAGCAGCTCCCCCCTCCCTGGGAGGGGGAAGGGGGAACCCCAGACCCACCACATCGGCAATCCACACCCCAGTTCTTGAGGCTGATGCTATCTGCTCGGTTGTGTGCTCTGGCTCCAGTCTTTTTGCGGCGCTGTGCCGTGTGTGTGGCGGCTGTACTCCAGGGGTGCGAGAGTCAGGAGTTACTCTTCAGTACTCAGGCTGCATGCGCCTAAGGTTCCTTCCCTAGGTGCCCTGTAAGTACTGCTCTTGGAGCTTGGGGTTACCTTCCACAAGTTCCTCGGTGTCTGCCTCTGTGGGTCCATTTAACTGCTCGGTTTTTCGGCCGCCCTTTGGGTACTTAGGTGTTTTGTCTCCCTAGTTTACCTTAGGGTAAGAGGCAGTTTTGCACTGGTATGGGGCGCAGGGTACTGTGCAGCTTGTTGTCACCTATCACAGCTGCCGGCTCTGTTCCCTGGGGCACCTTGTCCTCTTGTGGGGTTTTCTTTTTCTTTTTGATTTTGCCTTGGTGGGGGGTTCTGCCCTAATTGCCACTGGTGTTTGGCCTCACCCTGATACTTGGTGGTGCCCCCTGCTTTGTCCCCATGAGTGTACACGTCCCTGGGGTTCAGCTTTAGAGAGTTTGGTAGTTTTGGGCGCCGGTTAGCAGTACCCTGCCTGGGTTTACCTGACCGCGAGTCCTCTTCAGGGAAGCGCTCAGGACCCCGGGAATCTCATAGGGAACGCATGGGTCCGATGGATGCGACCCCCGGGGTCCCCCCCCCCCCCTCGCTTCATGTGAGTTTGAGGGTTGTTCGGTCCCCTTTTCTCAGGGCGACCCTCACTGTTATTGCCTCTGTGACGCAGCCTGTTGGGTCGGTGACACTTTCGATCCTGAGTCCTGTGAATATTGCTGCTTGCTGGTGACTCAATTTACCCAATCTGTGGATGATCATCTTCGGGTACAGGCTGCGCAGACGTTGCATTCTAGGTTTCGTTTGTTGCAACGCACTCGGTTGGTTGCTCACCCGGATGCCCAGCGGCTGCCCCGTTTTGCCTATAGGGACCTGGACTTGAGGGTGGGGGTCACTTCGACCCTGGTTCAGTCTGCACCTCCTAGTCCTTCCCCTTCTGTTGTTCGTTCTGGACCCCCTCCCTTGCTTCCGGCCCCGAAATGTCTGAGGGTTTCGGAGTTGGGGCAAGGGTTAGTTGGTCTTGAGACTCGGGCAGCCTCGGGGTATGCCCCTTCCGGTGTGGCGACGGAGGCATTCGAGTCTCCTTCCCGACCGAAGCCTCTGGGTCTGACCAGAGGGCCTCATTCTATCCGGCTTCTATTGCTGCGCTGGCTTTGTCTTGTGGAGTCGGTGCATGGGGGGAGGACTTGGCCCCGGGTCCTACGGAGGAGGATCCTGGGGTTGGGGAGAAGCTGACTTGGGGGCCTTGGGCCCCGCTAGACCCCGCCTGGATTTTTCTGCCCTCGGAGCAGGGCTTACTGTTACAAGGAGTGGGTTTTCTTTTCCCCCCTCTGTGTATGAGTTGGACTTGGTGTCTGCCCCTCCCCTGGTTCGGTTCCATGTTCCCCCGGGTGCTTCGGTTCCGTCCTTCCGGAGGTTTTCGGCTTATCGCATCCAACCTGCTGCAATGCAGGCAGCCCTTGCAGCAAACCTCCTGCGTGATGCAGATTATGCCTCGGCAATGAATTCCTCGGCTTTCAGGTTTGGGACCTTGTTCCCTTTCTGGCTCCGT